TTTTGTACATGTACACTAAAGTTAACAACATTAGTCTGAGAAGGTAAAACAGGGTTTTCAAAGCGAATATAATGTAAGATAAGAAACAGAATTTGAAATGTCTTGATGGCAAAGTAAGTAAAGTCATTAGAACTTCATACATATTAAATTTTATCACAAGTTCGAGCCTCACAAGTTGTCTTACTTTTTTGCGTTTGTCTTTCAATATATTTTTTTTTTAATTTTACATTAGAAAAATGAATTGGGATAGAAAGGCAGTTTTATTATGATATTTAATAATTTAGATATACATGCACGGATGATAGTGATTTTTAACCTGTATAGTATGTAGTAGTCATAGTACTTTTGCAGTGCAATAGTATTTCGTGCAAACTTAACTATAGTTGAAACAGTCTGTGTACCGTATCATGCATTCTGTATAAGTTTGCACCAACTTGCTAAATAGGGCTAAATATAGCTACATTTAAAACAAAATGAGAAGTTAATAGAAAATATCACAGCATTTATAATCTTTACAATAAATGATACAAAACTTTCTTACCTGATTGATAATTATAAAGCAATATTTTTGGGAAAAAGGTGCAATCCGAGCCTAGCTGTCTTGCATTGATATTTACCACAACCTTACCTACTGCATTACGCTGAGAGTTGGTAAATTTGTTGATAATTTAATTTATATAGCTAGGCTGTTTGAAGATAATAAACACAATATGATAGCTGTTTTACACCTGGATAGTGGACTTGACCACCTCGTCACTTAATTATTATACTAAACGCACAGTACTTGTGCGCACGTAAAACATATTGCGTTGATACGTAAATGTTTCACGTGCGCACGTAATAGTCGAATTCGCATGTATTATCTAAAATATTTCCTATGTTATTTTAATGTTATTGTCACATATGATACGTATATTTTATCATCTGAATTTGATTTCATACTATCAGATTAATGCTATAGGCAAGGGAGGATATTTTGATTTATATTTTGTGAGATTAATCACTTTATTTTTAGAGATAGCACACTGTTAGTTAAACAGTCTTAACAATAAAAAAATATTAATCTACACCATTGTATATTGAAGGTATTCAATCGTTGCTGAGATAGTTTTTGAAACAATTGAAATTGAAACAAACAATATTCCAAATTTGTTAAGATTAACGTTTTTATACAAATGAGAAGTATAGCTGGGTATTCCGCCTTTTACTTAACTGGATATCATTGTGCAAACACGGATCTACATATGAGTAGCAAATATCTGTACTTTTTAAGCCTTTTTTCAAACGAATTGACTCCTACTAACGATGCTAATATACATCGTAAAACGATCAAAAAGATTATGTCAGCACTTTTTCCCAATACAATGTTATTTTGTATTAATATATTTTTTATCAATAAAACACTCTTTACATAGAACAAAGATACCATTATCATTTATATTACAGGTGTGAAATAAATATATTCGTAAAGGTTTTATAACAAACACATATAACTTATCATCCGTCATAGATTAATCATTTCATTTAAATCCTGTGTAAATGGTTGCTTATAAATGACATCTTTATCCTAATAATATATAATAATTTTGAAATTTGCGTAAGAAAAAAATGTATATATGTATACGCTTAAAAAATGCCTGTGTATAGTCTTTTTGAAAGATGTGATAACTATTTCAAGACACTATTTAAACAAGATTTTAAACTCTCTTTTTCAGATACACACATGCCGAAGAAGATTGTAATATCTGGAGATAACATTTCCTACGTCACGAAATAGACACCGTCACACTGGTCTACGTAACATTCCTATAGATGCTTGATATACATGTATTTAAGTGCTTTTAAGAACTGTGTTTGAATGACGAATTTCTGTGAATACGGATTTTTAGTTTTAATGATTATTATTAAAACTTTCTGTAATAATCAATTTGTGCTATGGACTCATTTTCCTAAAATAATATGTGAATGTTAACACGAACAAATGATATGAATATCTTTAAAATGTTTTATAGGTGTAATACTAGTGGCTCATAAAAATCATTGTTAAGATAAATAGAAAAGAACTTCAAGTTGGTATAGTTGTTTCTAGATTTAAATAACATGCAATTCACAAAGGTTACGGCTTGAAAATATCGAAAACTGTACATGTATAATTCGATATCTAAAGAAAGAATCGCAGTGCGGATTTTCTCCACCGTGATGCGTATTTCATGACTCTGTTCCGTTGCAACGCTACATTAATTTGTCCCTCTGGAATAAGGCTTGCAACAATATATGACTGTTGTAGCGAAGACATGTTTATTTTGTTATATATATGTATACATATTGAATATATGTTTATGAAATAATAAATATTTAAGAGTGACTCGATTTGGTTTTTACTTTATCATTTGAAATACTCCAATTGTGAAGATAAAGTTCTTAAGCATATGACTTTACAGTTCCCATTCAAAATGTGTAATAAAACATGTTCTATTGTACACGTCTGCATTTCGGTCTAGCATACGTGTCACTTATATGTAAATGCATGCTTTTGATATTATCTGTATCTTCTTTTATCACGAAAATACAGTTCTGTATTCCCTGTGGACAACTAAAAAATGCAATTCCGTATATCCCCTGTATATATTGAAAATACGATTCCGTATATCCCCTGTATATGTAGAAAATACGATTCCGTATATCGTCTGTATATGTAGAAAATACGATTCCGTATATCATCTGTATATGTGGAAAATACGAGTCCGTATATCCTATGTATATGTAGAATATACGGTTCCGTATATCCTCTGTATACGTAGAAAATACGGGTCCGTATATCCTCTGTATATGTAGAAAATACGGTCCCGTATATCCTTGGTATATTTATAGTATACTAGGGATAACAACCTTGATATAGTCCGTATACGGGATTAAATTCTCCGTATACTTCAGAAGTACGAACAAATATACGTACATGTATATGGGGCAAATACGGAATTCCGTATATGCCTGATGCATATACGGACTTCCCGTATACCCGGTGTTCCCTATACGGACTCGTATACTTGGTCCGTATATTCGACGAATACATCCCGTACACGCCCGTATATGTCAAAAATACGGGACCGTATATTCCCGTATATCAGTATCTTTTTCGCAGTGAATTGCACACCATATTCCTCCGACAAATTGATGAACTTATGCATCTATCTAGCTCAATAATTGTTTAAAGATCTCACAAAAATTGACAATATCAATTTGTCCTTACAGATATGTCTAATTTGATAATGTAAACATTCAGATGTAGGAAGATTTTGTCTTCCATCTTTTACGAGACATTTTATTTCATTAACAAAACACATGTAAATCGTCAGGCTCTCACAAATGAAAAACTTGAATCATGGTTAAAGGTTCATTCTTTAACCGTCTTAATTTTAATTGGGTCTTAGATTATTATTTTCTAGTTGAAGTGTATATTTAAACCGTACACAACACACGTAAAAGTATATTATGCTATTTATATAGAATTTGGTTGTTTGACCTTTACACGCTAGGCCTAGGGCCATAGACCGTAACTTGCACTTTCCAGTTCCGTCCATGATCAGGCTCAATCAAACTAAGCCGTCAATATTTTCAGTTTTGTCGTTTTAACCACTCATTAGGGATTTTACACTTTTGTTGATTACCTGGAGTTTATATAAAAACAGTTTTTGTAATATACTAAGTATGTTTCTGGCGTTCTTTATTTAGAATTTAATGATAGTGAACGAGATATAAAGTACATGTCATTGAATAATAAAAACTATACCGCAGAGAGGGAGATCTTAAATCGAATTTGTGAAAAGAAAATTATTAGTTAGTTATTGTGCAATATCAGGACAACATCTCCGCAAAAGCAAGTCAATATCTATTTATAAACAACTTTAAATCAAGTGCTCGTCTGTACGGTGCCCCTAAGGTGACATTTTCCACACTTTTTCCCTTAGGGGCTCCGTACGTATGCTATTTGTATTTTTTTCATTTTTAATGTTACAAACTGAAAACGGCACGCCATCGTTTATCACATTAAAACATATTTTTTAAAACATTAACATTCTAATGCTGTTGTTGAAAGAAAAGTGTTTGCCTGTTATTCATAAGCGCTTACAGTTGCAAATGTTTATAAACTCTTCTTGTTGCATTCGAATAATACATAGCAAGGAGCTTGTATAATTCTGCGGCTAATCTTCAAACTTCTTTAATCAAGTGCACTTCATGATCAGTTTTTGCTGTGTTTTTATGATCAAATTCCATTCTATAGCACCTCCGCCGATAGCTAATCTGAATGCGTAGTATTCTGTTAGTATTTAAATAAAATGTTACATCTCTAAACATCTAGTAGGAGACATTATATTTCTTTACAGCGTAACTAATCGGAGAAAAGGTTCATAAGGGGTTACGATGAAGTTGATCCGATTTTATTGCTAAAGTAAGTAAGCATATACGTATTGCCCTTGAATAATAAGGCAAACTATTTCTTACAAACTCGCAAACAAAGCAACGTTTCAAGGACGATAAACAATGTAAATATTTTGAAAATTAACAAATTATCAGTTATCTAACTAGAAATGATTTCTGACCGTAACGCTAATTTTCACTTTCATTAAATGACATATCAACTGTTTCGGTTTAGTTGTAATACATTGCATTGCCTTGTTATCAAATTCTTAACACTTAGTGTCAGTAAATATATTAAAAGATAGAATTTTTACCGACAGTTGTTTTCTTTTTGTCATTTCGTTAACCACTGAAGTTCAATAAAAACGACTTAAGATTCAGTTAAGTGTTCCGCTAAAATTTGTCATCGTTTCCTAATCAAAGTTTACATGCATTCAAGCTTACAAAATTGTTCGAATTTAAATGAAAAGACTCTAAAAGATATGCAATAAATCATATTGCAAACTAAAATGAAACATTGTTGCATTTGAATAGCTTTCTGTATTTTCACATCCAATTCAAACAAATAATACTCGACAGTGAACAGGGTAATAGTTTAATCAAAATAGACATAGCGCACAATGCACATAAATATAATAGTCAGTGTAAAAATATATTAGAAACGCCTTGCGGAAAGGTTTGAATATCTGCTTGCTGATCAGACAGACTGTCTTAGTAAATCAAATCAGGCGAATGGTATTGAATTGATGTATTTCTTCCATTATGATCAACTGAAATAAGCTGATTGAAACAAGTGATCAAAATTTGACACACGTGTCAAAAAAGTGAAGGAAATTTAATTCAAGGAAATTAAAACAAGCAAACAAGCAACTGGTTAAGCTACTGTCATAACAAAAACACAACTTATCGACACACAAAATTAACAAGTGGCGCTTTCGTAAAATCTATTGCTTAATATACCATAGGCGTAAACCATAACTTAGTTAAATCGCTAAGCAAATGAATTGGAGAAGTAACGAGTATATCGTACACATTCATAGCAAATAAATTAAACCTGTGTATAAAACATTTTGATAAATGAATATAATTTAGCACAAAAATTGTAACTGATTAGTAATACATATCTTAATCTGCAGATGATCGTTTCTTTTTCATTAGGTTTAATTTAAATGTTTGAAACAAAACATAATAGCTATTTTCGACACAGAAAGCAAATAAAAAAGTGAAAATTAATGTTGACATATTTACGCTATTGTACATGATAAACAATTCGATAATTGCAAAGCTAAATCGAATTTAATTATTATGAAATAGCAGAAATCCGGTAAAAGAAGACCATTCTTCCAAGTAATCCTTAGGTTGGCCTATGCATTTACCAATATACACTGTGTCACCAATATCAAGGTCAATGATAACAGACTGGGATACCGCAGCATTTCCCTCGTGTATATGCTCGTCAGATGGATTCAGACTAATCTGAATCAATGGCTTATCATTCTTGAATAGTCTACAGTAAACCATATGAATTCGGGATGCATTTCTCTTCACCAGTGTTGTAGAAAAGTGGTACACGCCAGGTATGCTACACCTATATGTTCCATTTGAGATAGTAAAGTCATTTCCGTACTGGTAAATGGTACTAGTAAAGTTAAGATAGCCAATCCCGTCTATTCCATCTATCTGATTGAAGGTATGTGGACCTTTCACAGAAAAGGCAGACTTGAACGCTAAAATATATTATAAACAGTCATTGTATGCACTATTGAATAACTTGATATACATCAAATACAATATCAAACATCCTGATAAATGATTTAAAAGAAATTACTATTTAACTCCACCAAGCTAGTTAACTTTTATATTATGATAAAACATAAATAAATAATAATTTTTGCTTGTCTATAGATATAAAATTCTGGAAACAAAATGATCCCTCGGAAGCATTAATCACAACAAAATAACATATTAAGAATTGTAAGACTTTCTTTGTCATCAAATATTTATAACAGTTCATCAAAAAGCGCTGTGATTAATGTATCCTTTTCTACAAAACCAGATATAAATATATATATATATATATAAGCTAACATGTTGATAAAATAAAGCAATACGTTAGTGGTAACCGTTGAAAATATTTCATGACTTGACTTGGAAAACTTTGCAAACTGTACGAAGATCTACTTTACTGCAAGAAACACTTATATATATTTCATTCATAAAAAATATTATTCATCCATCCAGCCATCCTTACAAATATCCAATGGTGTTTATAAGCTTCATTCCGTTCATAAAAAGAGAAGATAAACAAATAAACCGTCGGATCAAACGAATGTCGATAATAAGAAATTTTTGATGTCTGTCCGTCGCTTTATGTTTGGGGTCCGCCTGGGCTCCTTGCCATTGGTTCTTGTTGCTGGGTCATATGGGGGTTGCGTTCATTGAACGCCGCCTTTCCTTGTTGATCTTGTTTTTCATATTTTAGGTTGCCATTTTCTTCATTTTTCATTGAAAATTTCAACTTAAACCGACATGTAATTTCCGTTTCTTCAACTAAGTTTTTGGACGGGAGATCATCAATCGTTGGATATGTGCCTGTCTGTCGGTGGGTATTGATTTTAAAATATCTACCTGTACAGTTTCCTCTTGAGCATTGACTACTTTGTAAACTTTCACCAATACAATCGTTTCCTTTATGCTCGGGCAATGGATTCAAACATCTTCTTGTTCGTAGTTGACTTCCCATACCACACGTCACGTCACATGATGTCCAACTTGACCATTGTGTCCATCGGCCATTAACTAGATATAAAAGAAACGTTTTTGTATGCTAGAATGTAAAATATGATAAACAAGATCAACAAGGAAAGGAGGCGTTCAATGAACGCAACCCCACACGATCCAGCAACAGGAGCCAGTGGCAAGGAATATGATAAACAAGATCAACAAGGAAAGGCGGCGTTCAATGAACGCAACCCCCCTACGACAAAGCAACAAGAACCGGTGGCAAGGAGGCCAGGCGGACCCAAAACAAGCCCCGGAAGACCCCAAACAATAACAAATCAACACAAGGTATTGTCTTTATATCGTTGAAGAATCTATTTAAGATTCTATCTTAGAAATATTCAGTCATCTATTTGTATTAAAGTTGGTTGCATATGACATCTCCAGTTGTCTTTAAAAAACATCTTTGGATATTTAATGTTACAGACATCCGCCATATGAACACATCTGCGGATGTTTCAAAATTCTAAATTTTACCAGTTCATGTTAAATGTTGAATTCTGCTTAAGCCGGTGCTAGGGGGCGTGGACGGTAACTTGCACTTGACAGTACCGTCCATGAACAGGCTCAATCAAACCGAGCCTGCAACATTTTCAATTTTGCCGTGTTGGGCTTTCTTTAGGGATTCTGTATTTATCTATTTCAAGGAATATTGGCAAAGTTTTAAGAAATGAAGAAAAACAAAACGGATTTCTCACTACAAATTCTTGAATTTTGGCGCAATCATTTTAATAGAAGTCGGCTACATGAAATGCATGAAAAAGGCATTGTTATCCTTTGCCGTGAATTATCTTCCATTGAAATAAGTTAAATAGTCAATTCAAGGACTGATACATAATTCAGAACACAGAACGTGGTCGGGGACTTCTAATGGTATTTCGCTTAATTTATTTCTGTTCTTTTTACCTTATAATGGAACGTTTACAGAAATTATATTGACAGATTTCGCTGAACTGTTTGTCTATTTGTTATAAGAGTATATACCTAAAGTGGAAACCACTTGACGCTGCCTTGTGCATGCTTGCGGCTGTATTCGTAGTGGTGCGTTTGCGAGTTTTTATATTTGGTCACTGTACCGCTGCCGATTAGAATTTTGAAAATAAGAATCCCTAAAGAAATGAAAACACGGAAAAATTGAAAATTTCGCAGGCTCTGCTTGATTGAGCCTGTTCATGGACGGTACTGTCAAGTGCAAACTACCGTTCACGTCCCCTAGCACCGGCTAAAGCAGAATTCAACATTTAACATAAACTGGTAAAATTTTGAATTTGATGTGTTCATACGGCCGTTATCATGGAACCTTCAATGTGATACTTTCGTGCCATTTCGTGAAAATCGGCGTATGGTCCACAAGTAAAAGAATGCATGTGCCCTAAACGAGAAAACAATGGGCGGAACTAAAAAATATGGATTCTTGAAAGGGGATCAGAGGTAATGAAGCCTGCATATCACAGATAAGACGTCAAAAGACAAATTTTAAAAGCAGGCAATATAAGGGTGTTTCTACGTTTTCCAAGTAGTAATAATGGAATCACCCAACTAGAAAAATGCCGAAAAGTGAAAACGTAAAGTACCACAAACACAACAATAATGTCGTGCTGAAATATCTTTAAGTCAATGTTTGCTGTAAAAGTCAATGCTATGACAACTTCATTTAATTCACAAGATAGTGATTACTTGATAAGCTAATGTGTGCGGGTCCTTAAAAAGTTTTAAAAAAAGCCAAATTAGATTTCAAAATTCGTTAGAAAATTCAATATTCTCGATTAATTATTGTTCTTTAATAAATTGGGAAAAGTATGCGCAACTAACCGCTTATTAACAGTTTGTCATGTCAGATCTTTTTAAAGAAAACTTAGGAAATAACGTACTAAGATTCTAAGAAAAGTAAAAAGTCAATTGATTACGACCCTCTGTCGGACAGGACCATGTACCGGACATATTGCCTTTTTCACGTTTGATAGAATTTATTTGGTTATAAAATGTCTCTGTAATATGAACAATTTGTAGAGTTGTCTTGTAATATTCACAAGATCGAAAGGTATTATACACTTTTCATTTCCTTTGTAAATTTTATTTAAACGTGTCACCTAAGCCATATTTCATACTTCCGAATTAAAAGTTCCAGAGGATTTTCGTAAAAGGTGAGTACATATGCGTAGGTTTTCAGGCGCCTATGGGTAATAATCAATTTGTATGCGAAGTTTACGAAACTTAAACACAAGGGACATATTAAAACATGCATCTTATTTAACGAATTAAGTACACGAACATAATTGTTATAATTATATATTTTTCTTTTAAAAAGGGTATATAGCAAATCTGTGTTTTGGGGATTTTTTTTTAATTAATTGATTGGTATTTAATACGTTTATGTTAACAAAGACGTATATATTGATGGTTCGAGCGCAATGCTTCTTGTCGTTACTCCTTATATTAAATAGACTGCCGTTAAATAGAACAATTTTTTGAATACTTGTTGAATATATTGTTACATACATGATTGTACTTCTTGATATATTTGCAATTTTATAACAAAATTTCTTGTCATTTTGTCTGTTATTTGCTTATCGCTAAAATCACAAGATTTAATTTAATTGTCTACAATTCATTTTCATATACCTTTACGTTTTTCTTGTCATCACAATTGGTTTTTTAGACTAAAGGAATGGCGGCTGCGCACAGTCATATAACTATTGAGTATTTTTCTAAATTATTTACTATACATATGTGACATCTTCAACATCGTAATGCATACTAATTATTTGAAATAAAGCAAAACATTGAAAACCAAATTTTGAAAATGTATTGATATATACCTATGTATCTTGTTTAAGGAAATAAACAAATAGACTAGCATCTTTTACTCAAGATACTTGTATAACTTGACCGCCTTCAAGTTCCGTTTTTACTTTGATGTGTCTCGTTTGAAAGATTAGTTTATAAGCACTTGACATAACAATAATGAGTCAAAAAATTAGAAACACAATAGGTATGACTGCAATATTCTACATATCTAGTACATATGAAATTTTATCTATTTAAGCAGATAACTATCTCATACGTAAGTAACTGACTTACTAACAAAACGTTAAATAGATAAACATATAAATATCAGACAGGGGTATCAAATTGTCTTTTTTATACAGATAATAGCTTTCAATGCACTTACCGTAATCGAATAGGTTGATGAAGGCAAAACAAATATCTCATCCGTATATTATACCTGACAGACAATTTATCATGCATACTTCATACGTTTTATAATAACATAATATGTTAAAATCAATAATCGCGAAGGACAAAAAAGATATAACAACACTGACAGTTGACTCAATCTTAGTTGAATTTCCAGGACCAGACATTCTATTCGAGCTTAACAAAGATACGAGTTACAAGGTGCTAATTCCAAACACAGTTGTTTTATGTATATCTGGTACAAAATACTTGGTATATCGTTAATGGAAACGGAAATGTTACACAAAAATTCCCTGTCTCAATATTTTCCTAAAGAATGTAGGTAAAATGTCATAAAAATAAATTTGCAAATTCTTTATACATATAAAACTATTTCACAAAAGAGAAACATGTGTATGAGTGACATAAAAAGGGTAAATTAATTCTTTTAATGATATTTACAACTCACAATATATATTTTAAGTCTTTCTATTATATCACGTGACGTGTTTGTCTCAAAAGCACGAAATATAAATAAATATATATCTAATATACTGCTAAATGTTTGAAAAAGGAACTACTGTTTCACTCCAACAAGCTAATTCAATAAACAGTGTATAATTGTTGAATATTTCATGGGAAAAAAGAACTTTTATATAATGATAAAACATAAACAAATAATTGTTATGGTTGTCTATAAATAAAAGACTTTCAGGTATTTATAACAGTCCATCAAATAGCCCTAGTGATGAATGTATCATTTTCTACCAAACAGCATATACATATAATCTAACATTTTGAAAAAATAAGCAATAACTTGGTGGCAGCCGTTGCAAATATTTCATGACCTATCTGGAAAACTAAACAAAATGAAGGTAGAGATACTTTACTGCAAAAAACACTTTTTAAAAAGACAAAAAATGACAAAATACTATTCATCCATTCTTACAAATATCCAATGGTGTATGAGCTTTATTCCGTCCATAAAAATGGAAGATAACCAGATTAACCGCCGGATCAAAAAATATCGTTACACAATGTTTGATGTCCGTCCGTCGGCTTGAGTTGTCATTTTGTTCATAAGATTATGAAGATTATGGACGGGAGATCATCAACCATTGGATTCTTGCCTATCTGTCGGTGGGTATGGATTTTAAAATATCTACCTGTACAGTTTCCTCTTGAGCTTTGACTACTTTGTAAACTTTCTCCAATACAATCTTTTCCTTTGTGCTCGGGCGCTGGATTCGAACACCTTCTTGTCCGTAGTTGACTTCCCCTACCACACGTCACGTCACATGATGTCCAACTTGACCACTGTGTCCATCTGCCATCGACTTGAAATACAGTGAATGTTTTTGTTTGCTAATGTATAAGGTAAATAATCAGCACAGGGTATTGTCAATATATCGTTGAATATGGTGGCTGATTTGTGACCCCGCCAAACGAAAAGTCGAGAATTAACAAGTTGAAACAGCGAGGTCGCGGGACAAAAACACGGGGGTGAAGTTAAAGTGACATTATGCCCATGCAAGGGTATATAATGAGAGAACGGGTGAAGATCAAAATAATGTTTCATTTTGCCGTAATTCCTTTTAATTCAATAATTAAGTTCACATAAACAATAAACAATAAACAACGCACAGATCCAAACTATATTTCTGTAAATATCCATTAGAGTTTACCTATAACGCTTAGTTTATGTAAAGAGTGGGACAGTCTTTACATTTTAGACAGATTTATGAATTTATTCTAAACATTTTCCAGTATCAGCTGTTGGTCAAACACCATTTTGACAGTCAATCTTTTCAAATATAAAAATCAATTCAGCTAAACTTTACTATGAAAATATGAGCATAATGTCACTTTAAATAGATAAAACTCGCCCCGCGGAGGCGCGGGACAAGATTTAAAAACAAACGCACCGCTAGGCGGAGCATTATATTCCCGGAAGTGATTTTTTAGAAAGGATTAAGCATTTGTAAGATATGGGAATCAAATATTTTTTCTAGGACGGATGGACAGAATGATGCCAGGAATATAACATAATAAAAGCAAACTTTTTAGGGCATAATTAATGTAATCAATACAATGTATATGTGATTATCCTATGAAGTTTGACAGTTGTATAACCTTTAACAATATTAAGGTTATTTGATATTGACCTTTGACCTGCTACCCCAATGTAGATATAGATCTTTTATTCAATACTGGCAAACATCCTATGAAGTTTGAATAGTGTGGGCCAAATGGAACTTTAGTTATGCTCCGGAAACTGTTTCCAGTTTTAGGGTAATAGTGACCTTGACATTTGACCTTGTGACCTTTAAATCAAAAGGGGTCTTCTACTAATATTGACAATCATCCTATGAAGTTTGAATATTGTGGGCCGAATGGAACTTAAGTTATGTTCCGGAAACCAAATTGCTAATGGACGGACGGACAGACGGACGCCAGGGTGTATAAAATCATATGCCCGAACTTGTTAATTTTCGACTTTTCACTTGGCGGGATCACTGGGTGAAAACACGAGTGGCACAAATCAGCAACCATTGTTGATAAATCTACTGCTATGTTCTGTTCTCTGAATGACTTTTTAAAGATTCCATCTAAGAAATATTCAGTCATTTATTTATATTAAATGTATGGAAATAAAGAGATCCCTTATGCAACTTTAACAAAGTGAGGCATCAAAAACAGCAAAAGTACATGAAAATTGCAGACTCTGTTTGATTGAGTCTTTTACATGCGTGATAATGAAAAAGTGTAACGTCCCAGCACAGTCGTGAGCTGTACTCCATTCTAAACACTTATAGTGCTGGAATCAATGATCCCGAAGGATCAACACTGAAGTGAAGTAAGGAAGAACTTTTTACGGCTGCTATGGAATGTCCATGGCTCCTAAAGAAACTCAATGGTTGCTATGGAAATCAATAAAAGTAGTCACTGTTTGCTATGAAAGTCAATTATGTAACAATAATACTCAAATCCAAAGACAGTATGTCAGGCCTTAAAAGAAACTAAGAAACGCCGAATAGATTTCAAAATTCGTTTGAAAATACAATTTTCGCGATCAATAAATTTTTTTTAATAAATTATGAACGGTATAAGTCATTTCCCGCCAATTAACATTTTGTCATGACAGCAGGTTTTTCAAGAAAACTCAGAAAAAACGTACTTTAATTCTAACAAAAGTAAAAGGTAAATGGATAACGACCCACTACCGGGCCGGACATTTTGCCTTTTCCACGTTTGATCGAATTATAAAATGTATATTTAAATTAATTCTTAATAAAATAAAACATATGCTTCTCAATCGGCTGTTAAAATGCTAGCATACTAGTGTACATTTTATATGTGTTAAACACTGCATCTTGGACAGGCTAGAGTTAATGAGGGTCTATCCGCCCTTTCTTGTACTGAGATTATTGACCTTTTACACAATTTACCGTGAATGTCAATTTCTTTAATATGCCATCCAAACATGTAAAGAAATAAGAATAAAGATCAACAAAGCAAAGGCAACTATTTGAAAAAAACTTAAATCCTATAACTTGTTTTTCCTATACGTGCAGTTTCAAAATATTACCTTACCCGGTAAGCCTTTTTACTAATATTAATTAAATACGTTTCTTGTCTATCATTTGTGGTCAAAATTAAACAAAACAAGAGGGCCATGATGGCCCTAGATCGCTCACCTGGCCCATCGAACTCATCCGAACAATTACCTAGACAAGCATTCTGACCAAGTTTCATGACCACTAGAGTATTAACAAGGATAATCCAAATTTGACCAGTATGACCCAGGTGACCCATATTCGAACTTGACCTAGAAGTCATCAAAACAAACTTTCAGACCAATTTACAGGATATTTGGATCAAAACAGTAGCCACTAGAGTGTTAATACGATTTTTCTACTTTTAGCTCCGGTGACCTTTTTTTTCATCCGAGATGACCCATGGTCAAAATCATCCGAGCAATGACTTTGACAAGCATCCTGACCCATTTGATGATAAGTGAGTCAAAAATGTGACCGCTAGAATGTTAACAAGGTTTCTCCATATTTGGGCAGTGTGACCTAGTTTTTGATCCCAGGTGACCCATATTCGAACCTAGAAATCATCAAAACAAAGTTTTAGACCAATTTAAAGGGATATTTGGATCAAAACAGTAGCCACTAGAGTGTTAACAAGATTTTTCTATTTTTAGCTCCTGTGACCTAGCTTTTCATCCGAGATGACCCATGTTCGAATTTATTCGAGCAATTACCTAGGCAAGCATCCTGACCAAGTTTGATGACACTTAAGACAAAAATGTGACCACTAGAGTGTTAACAAGGTTTTTCTATCTTTAGCTCTTTAACCTAGTTTTTCTTCCGGGATAACCCATGTTCAAACTCATCCGAGCTATTATCTAGACAAGCATCCTGACCAAGTATGATGATGATTGACACAAAAATGTGACCGCTAGAGTGTTAACAAGGTTTTTCTACTTTTAGCTCCTGTAACCTTGTTTTTCTTCCGAGATGACCCATGTTCAAACTCATCCGAGTTATCACCTAGACAAGCATCCTGGCCAAGTTTGATGATGATTGAGGCAAAAATGTGACCGCTAGTGTTAACAAGGTTTATCTATTTTTAGCTCCTGTGACCTAGTTTTTCATCCGAGATGACCCATGTTCGAAGTCATCCGAGCTATCAACTAGATAAGCATCCTGATAAAGTTTGATGATGATTGAGGCAAAAGTGTGACCGCTAGAGTGTTAACGAATAAAAGTGGACGGACGACAGACGTCGGACGACAGACATTCAACGATCCTAAAAGCTCATCCTGAGCAAGCTCAGGTGAGCTAAAATTACACCAAGCTCGTTAAACAATTTTTAAAAAGGTGCGACAAAGAAAGGCTATGTTTGCAAATTATGTTGTTTTCTTTATGGAAACGCAAACGCTATGATAAAAAAAACGAATTCGAATCTAATGCAATATAGTTTTTTTATTGTTCAAAGTATTAAAAAATAAAACCTGGGCAACTCTCTTTCAAGCAATCGCTGCTCTGCAAGCTTTCTCCGACACAATCACTTCCGTTATTCTTATGTTCTGGATTTAAACATGCCCTTGTCCGTAGATATGTTCCATTACCACACGTTACGTCACACGAGGTCCAGCTTGACCAATTTGCCCATTGACCATCGACTGAGTTTTTTAATTAAAAACTAAAGTATGTATATAGCTAAAGCACAAATTAATAAAGCTATTTAAGAAATGAAGGAAGCATACATTGAAAATTCCTTAAACAATTTGAATATAAAAGTTGTTTATTTATGATAGAACTATGTATTGAAATTAAGTACAAAAAAATAACAGAAATAAAACTTACCTGTATCCTTGGGCAGAAACATGATCATTATCATAGAGATGAGAGTAACGTAAAGAACAATTATTAACACTATCAAGATATAAATTACACATTTAAGTCGCTTCAAACTTTTGTCCAGAATTTCTGTTTTTCTTTTAGGTTTGTCCAAATCTTCTAAATGCAGCGTTTCATAATGGGAATCTTCATCTTTTTGAGTATCACATTCTGATTTTTTTCCCGAGACTTTTTTTGTGTTTTCATATTGAACAGCATCATTCCATATACTTGAATCAGCCATGTCGGCATCATAAGGACCATCATCCATTTCTCCAACCACATTTAAGACAAATTCCTCTGTTGTTAAGTGAAAATCTCTTAAGTTTTTGATTTGACGTAACGATAATACCTGAAACCTTGGTTATAATATTTTGCTGGTTTGGCAAGAGCATAGGCAAACAACCTGCCACATCACAACTTTAATCTGAAACATTTTGGATGTTAAAATCAAACATTTCATCATCTCCTTATGTCTTTATTTGATTTATTATACGGTAATAAAATAAGAAATAAACATGCAATCTCAAATGTAATACATGTAGGTTTCGGGATTTCGGGATTTAATGCAAACAAAATATTACGTTTAAAGGGGAGGTTTTTATCATCATGTTACTTATTACAAACATTCTAAACTGTTTTTGTTCTGTAGGATAACGGTAATTAGACGGTAATTAGTCAACAAGACATAAGCGGATATATTAAATATAAATATTAATTATGAGCTGTCACCAGACACACGAGTAGGATATGACTAATTTAGTTAATTGATGGGCATGTCATCACATGAGCGGTGATTGTACCTATAGCGTGTAAACATAATTGTTAATTTAATTGTTAGCTGTCCGGAAACGCATATTTGCAGTTATGAATTATGGGTTAATAAAGTTTAAGGCGTATAATATTTTGGTATTAAAGGTAAGCAAAATATTATATTCTCCAGTGTGGTTTTTGATGTAAAAATATACTCACTCACTCAGGTTAAATTGTGCTAAATACGCAGTTGACATTAATTCTTATTGCTTAACATATTTGTTTAAGAATTGTGAAATTGTTAAAGACACTGATTAAGCAATTGTTGTATAGAATAATATCTTATACTAAATAAATTCATATATCGGACGTTTATAAACTTGATATTGTGTTGACTTATAAATATTGAGTTATTCAGACCAGGGCGTCACACTACAAGGGACGATTTGGTGCTCTAGTGACTACAGGATTCGATACACCAGAAGTTTTTTTGCGGAACACAACGACGAAGGGGGCCATTATTCGATCAGCCACGGGAACCAGTTTCCAGCGGAACCAGACACGAGACCGGTGAGGTTTTTTGGCTTGCAGCCGTGGCATTTGTTTTGGAAAAGTTGTTCCGGTTAGGTGGTTTCCTGTTTACATTTGTTAGTGCATGATTGAACGGTTAACCAGCTGCAATCGTGCCAATCGCAACTTTTCGGCCCTTTCCGTCACTCTTCGAATTAAGGATAATATCCGAGGTAGTTCCGATTGCAATCGTGACAATTCGGGCGATTCCGTCATACTGCGGAATCAGACGAAGTAATATTACGGAAATCTAAGCTATTTTAGTTACTTCGGTAATCCCAGTTTGTTCATATAAATAGGATTTCTATTTTTACTTGATTTATCGAAATTGTTCCGTTTCAATTCTTTTTCAAGACGCAAAAGTTAATTTCTTTATAATTGGTTTTTGTCTTTATTAGTTTTATACAATAGAGAATGGTTACTGTAGTAGTATTCCGTCTCCAAAGGGCGATCCTGCTTACCAAAAGATCGTGACCGATAGTGCATGATCAAGTTATATTTAGATCTACTGACAGAGTTTAAACGTCTTGGTGAGGTAATCTTAAAATAGCCCATGCATATCATTAACCTTACCACGTGCTGATCTCCTGTGTTGTCGGTATATCTGTGATCATAGATATTGTAGGTGTAACATAGTTGATACATGCTTATTAATTGGTATCACGTTACGAAGTCTTTTAGGGCTTTTACTTGTCTCTAAAGCTGCTATATAAATGAAATTAGCAACCAAAACGAATGACTCTCTCTGCGAAAAAATTGGAAATGAAATGTCCTTCAGTAAGATACGTGAGAGCCAATGTAAGTATTTTTACGATTGATTTATCTTTATTAGTTTTATACAATAGAGAATAGATTTCGAATCGCTTTTGACAAAAAATTATTCGTTTTTACAAAAAAAGTTGCTACTGATATCGTTAGCATGTTCCCGTTCAGTTATAATCAGTGGACTTCTGGTCCCTCTTTGGTCCAAATTTGCACGCATAACACTAGTGCTCAAACAAATGGGCACAGGTGCTCGTCCAGTCTTGGGCTTACCCTACCTATCCCTTTAAAAGTGAAACTTTTTTTTCGAGAAAAAAAAAACAAACTAAATAAACCCTTTATGAAATACAAATACCGTAATTCAAAAAAATTGTGATAATAAATTGAAAAAAAAAAACAAAAAAAAAAAACAATTTTAAAGGGATGGGATGATGGCACAACTGAGCAAGCCTTTCATTTGAAAAGGAAACTTTATTTATTCTCTGTTTTTTTTGTATTTGTTGTTGGCTTAGGACTATGGCAGAACAAGATATTGCTAGAATTTTAGAGAATTTAGGTAGAGAACTTAGTAATGTCAGCGCTTATGTTGACACACAAAGTATTTCACTAATTATCCTAGCTTTTAATGGTGAACCGGGGGAATTTGAATTATGGATTAAGAGTATTGAGAAATTTGGGGTATTAACGAGGGTACCTGAGGAAAGATTAAAGCTTGTCGCGTATCAGTCAAGTAAAAATTCGGTAAGTGATTTTATCAGTAGACATTTAAGAGATCACCCTGACAGCACATGGGTTGAATTCAAAACAGAATTAGGTTCAAGGTTTGACACTATTCCAAGATCTACAATACGCAGTTTCCTTGTTACGTTTATTGAAGCAACACAAAAATGAAAATGTTCAAATTTTTGCTGAACGATTATTATCTTTAGCGGAACTTATAGGGGAACTGATGGGAATTTAGCTTTAATTGAAAGACAAATTAACGGGTTCTTTACGGACAGTTTACGTTAAAAATATCTCCAGATGAAAGTAATGAGAGATAATCCAGATACTTTACAAAATGCAGCTCGATCGGCTATGAATGAACAAAATTTAAGAGCTAAGTTTAATTTGAGATTTCAAAATAACCAACAATCATCTGAATATCACCTTCCTCAAGGGCAGGAACCTATGGAAATTGATCATTTTAAAGTACGAACTTGTGCTTATTGAAGAAAACCAGGTCATCATATGTCTGATTGTAGAAAAAAACCTAGGCAAATATTACAGGTAAATTCTGACATAAGATACTCTAACTCAAATAACGGTCAATATAGACCATCAAACAGACCTCATGACAACCAACAAAATTATTATAGGGGAAATAATGATAATTACAGACAGAGATATTACCCTAGGGGAAATTATAATAATAATGACAGATATACACAGGACAGACAATTAACAAAACAAGACTGGAAATCCAAGCTTATTTGTTTTAGCTGCGGGCAAATAGGTCACATTGCTAGAGAGTGCAAAACTCAGAGGCGTTACACGCAACGAAAAAACTAATTAACTCTTATTATAGAGTCGATAATAGGAGAAATAAGAAGTCACGTCTTTTCAATATTGCAATTTGCGGTAATCCTAATTCATGTTTTATAAAAATTGGAAATGTAAGATTTAGAAGCCTTATTGATACGGCTGCTGAAGTATCGATATTATCGCTTAGATCTTATTTGTCACTCAAAAATAAACCAAAATTAATTCACAAATCCGCGAATCTTCAGTCCGTAAATGGTCAATTGTTACACGTTAAAGGTTGTATAGATCTTACATTTAAAATTGGTTCAGTAAAGAAAACACGAAAATGATTGTGTTTTACAGCCTCAAACATCACACATAGTAAGGGGAAAATTGAAATATTATCATGGTTTATTAAGGAAATTACTGCATGTGAATTGTCCAGTATGAATAATAGTGACATAAATTCTGAACCACAGGTAAAAATTATAGATTCAGTTGTATACCTTCATAGCCATAGGCAAATACCTGTCATGATAGTAAATAACACACACAAGTATAAGCTAAAAGCAGGTAGTCCATTCGCTGGGGTAAAAGCCGTTGACAGTTATGAAATATCATCTATAACTCAGAACGTAATTAAAAACACGTGCAAGCCAAATTTTCTTGATGACATTCAGGTGCCAGCTCAGCACGCTAATATGCTTAAAGATTTTTTAAAATCAAATAGAGATGTTTTTGCAAAAGATGATTCAGAATTGATAGGTACTAATACAATTGAAATGAAAATAGACACAGGTGACCACCGCCCAATTAAATAAAAGCCATATAGAATCCCTTTCAAAATTCTTCAAGATACATCGGACGCTATAAAACAAATGCTTTAGACAGGCATTATTAAACCATGCCATTATCCATGGTCGTTTCCATTGGTCATTGTCTCAAAATCAGATGGTTGTAAGCGCTTTTGCGTAGACTTTCGAAAACTTATTAAGATAACAGACAATACAGCGTACACCTTGCCTCGTATTGAGGATATAATAGCAAAACTAGGAAATTGTCAGTAGTTCACAAGTCTGGACTTAGCGAGTGCCTTTCACCAAATGCCTATCAGGGAACAGGACAAACAAAAAACAGCATTCTCGACACCAAACTTCGGAATGTATAGATATGAGCGTCTGCCGTTCAGTTTAGCAATCTCTCAAGGTTATTTTCAGGCTTTAATGAAGCTAGTTCTTAAAGACTGTGACGATTTCGCTATCAGTTATATTGATGATATAATTGTTTTTAGTTCTAATTATGAGAATCATTTAAAGCATATAGAAACTGTTTTCCAGAGATTACGGCAACATAAGTTAATACTCAAGTTGAAAAAATGTCAATTCTTACTGGCTGAAATAGAATATCTAGGTTTTGTGGTTAATCGCCACGGAATTAAAATAGATAAATACCAAATCAAAACAAAATAAAAGCTATAGGAAGATTCTCTCCACCTACAAGCCCCAAACAGGTTAGATCTCTTTTAGGAATGACTGGATTTTATAGATTTATGATTAGGTCCGGTACTAAGAGTCACATTGAAATTATATCTCTCTTGATTGATTTAACAAGGAAAAATATTAAGTTTAACTGGACACCAGAGTGTCAAGAAAGTTTTGATTTATTGAAGGAAAGTCTTACATCAATTCCGTATGTGGGTTTTCCTGATATTAATAAGCCTTATAGACTCTTTTGCGATTCAAGTGATTTATGTTTATCCGGGGTCTTAAGCCAGGACTGCGAACCAGACGACCAAGGTTCTTATATCAATCAGAAGCCAATTTATTTCATATCACACCGGTTTAATAAAACGCAATGAAAATATTCTATAGCTGATAAGGAATTTTTGGCAATTTTCTACT